AGACAGTGCAGACACTGCCCCAGTGAAATATCACCTAAAGGCAATGGAAAAGGTGGAAGACGTCAACTGCAGATTTCGAGAATCGGCAGCTGAAACCACGGAACTCTGCGACTCCCGGTCTAACTCTGGAAAAGGCTCAAATATCTCCAGGGGGTACTGTAGTGCCAACTATCCCTCAAGAAAATAGCCACCTTCGCAAAAAGACCTTAATTTCTTGGACAGAAACAACGAAAATAGCTACCTGTGTGCCTTGAAAAATAGCTGAAAATATATTATTTATTTCCTTTTTTTATGTATTTTGTAAAATCTTAGTAGCCCCCAGTGTTTATTTGAAATTTATTGAAAAGTTCCTTAAACAATTTATTTATTTTTCTTATACCCCCTTTTTCGTCGCCACTGCACTAAATTTTCGAGTGTTAACAGATACCACGTTTTTCTATTTGATTTTCTAAGGAGAACAAAATAACCGCATGCTATCATCATTAAAAGTGCCACGGCAGGAGAAAAATGACCATAGGCCCCCCGGCTATTATTACCTATAATTAAATTGATCAATATGCCGGAATGGTTATGAGTGATTTGTCAGGTATTTCCGAGTTTCGCTAATTATCGTTCTTTAGACCTTGAGGATGTATCAGAGAAACCAAAATGGAATACAGAACCGGTATTGTTCTTATTATTAATAATAATAATAATCAAGTCAAGTCAATACCACTGTTTTCACCAAAACAAAACAAAATCTAATTCTCTGCATGTTTAGTCATATTAACGATATAGAATGACTACGTTTATTTCACAGGTTGTATCCGGATACCTACTAAGTGGATTAGGGATTATTAATCCATATTTGTTTATTTCACAACTATTAAATGGATTAGGATTAGTGCTAATCCTTTCTTAAGCCTAGTTGAAAGCGTAAGCGCAAATTGCTTTGCGTCTTATTTCATTGAAGGCAATCGCTGATACACTTTTTAGGTTTTTATCAGGTTCAGATCATTTTTTCTTAAAGTAAGCAACAAATTTCCTAAATCCGATTTGAAGTGTTTATTTCACATTTGAGATAATCCATTTGAAGTCCAATCCTACAAATTTGGAGGATTGGATTAAGTAGGTACTCCGATTCGGATAAATACTCTAATCCTGGATGTTTATTTCAGGATTATTAATCCCTATTAATAATCCAATCCACTTAGTATCCGGATACAATGCGTGAAATAAACTTACGCCCGTATTCACCAAAATCAACTTAGCTATCTGATAGCTGTCAGTCTGTTAACATTTATCAGTCGGATAACAGCAACCCACATAACAAAATTTCATCCTTAGAATGTACTGAGAATGTTCTTTTTTTTGAGGAATGTGCCTAGAATGTTCGCCAAAACCATTGCGAATGTCCTGAGAATGTTCTGAGAAAAGATTGTAGAAATACTGTTTGTAATACCCAAGAACTTCCTGGGAAATCCATTAGGATATTCCTAGAATATACCTATGAGATTCTCAGTACATTCTGAAAAGAATATTCCTGTTTGATTCTAAAAATATGCTTGAAATGTATATCTACCTATTCTCACATTCAAAGATTGTTCCTATGACATTATAGTTATGTTCTCAAAAGAATATTATACCAATATGCTTGAAATATTCTTAGAACATATCTACATATATCATTCTCAATATGCATCCTAGACATAACATTCTTGTTTGATTCTAGGGACATACTTGGAATGTTAATTTTCGCATCCAACCAAATAATGCTACTTTCAGTCCTTCTATATTAAAGGCAGTGAAAGAGTTGTTGGAAAATTTCTCTGGAAAACACAAGTGTTTAACCAAAGCTCCGGTTTCGAGCTTATTATGCTCTCGTCGCGGTAAGCACGCCAACTGAGAGAAACAGGTTCCAAGCTGATTCAAACGCGAGGCAAGATGTAAATCATTAATAGCGCGTGGCTCCCTCTCTTGGAAGTCCTACAAAGGAAAAGGAAAAGAATATACCTATAATATTTTTAGTAGGTTCTAGATAGAGCATTATTGTTTAATTGTTCAATTAAGATTTTTGAGTAGGTACTTTAGATAATTAGGTGAACAATATGGAAATATTCTTATCATGGGTAGTTACCTACATAAACTTCTCAGCACAACTTGGTAGGTATATTCTTGATACTTGATAGAGATATTAGCCGAAAGAACATTTTTTAGGGTACATTATAATAATGTTCGTGTGACAATATTCAGATGTTATATAAAGTAGGTTCTTAGCACAATCTTTCAGGTAGGTGCATAGAAGCAACATTCCTAGTACATAAATAGAACGCCCAAAAATGGATATTTCAATCGAAACAATCTAAGAATATTCATTAGACATTCCTAACAGAACATTCCAAAAAGCACTTTGAGGGAATATTCTGAGAATATGAATGTTCTTTCACTGTTATGTGGGAAGTGCTATTCACCAATGAAAATGGTCCTTCTGATAACAAACAGACTGATAAAAATAAAAATCCATATATTCTATGAACAGTTTTTCTCTTCATTTCATTTAACAACCTCAAAATTTATCTGTATTATATTTATTTATTAATAATAACTTTTCTTGGGCTGTGAAACAAGTAAACAACTTCCTAATCCTAATAGTTTGTCTAATAATAATTAATTATCGTATAAGAATACCAAATGAAATGGAAAAAGAAACGGAGCAGCTTTCTGGTAGCGAAAAGGAAATTCTAATTTCTTCGGTTGAGAAATATTTAATCGGGAATAAGAAAACCATAACCAATACAGTACAGTTGGTCGTGATTGTTGTGAAACATTGAAATGGTCACCTTAATACAAAGTTGAAAAGACCCGGTTGCAATCAAAATCTGATTTTTTTTAGATTGGTTTATTTCTTTCGTCCGCAATGGCTCCAAGACTAGGTTCAGTGTTCAGAGGTTTATTTTCAGCCTTTGAAAGCTATTTTCGTTTAGTCTGAATCTTTTATGAAACTCCAAATCATCCAATTTAGTGAATAAATCATTCTTGCCCTCACATTTCTGGGCCTGGGAAGATCTTCATCTGATATATGGATCATCCAATGAACCTCCAAAAAAATTCAGGTCAATTTTATCCATTCTGTTCATTTTGCCAAAAAATAAAAACTTATAAAGTACCTACCTTAAATTAAAATTTAACGAACCATCCATTCTTTCCAATTTATGGATACATTCGATTTTTTTTTGAAAAAAAAACAATAACAATAACACTTATCAGACAGATAACTTCCTTAAGAGCCAAATTATGGACCTACTGGTAACGTCTTTGGCAAATTTACCCCGCTGGTAAAACTAAAAATTGAATGCATTTTTTAGCTTTACCAACAGGATAAAGGTGCCAATAACGTTACCAGTCGGTCCATAATTTGGCCCTAACAGTCCAAATTTCGCCTGACAACTTTATCAGACTGATATCTACTACTCAAGGTTGGTGAATACCGAATTTTACGTTAACAGTCTGACAAGCAGTTTATCAGACTGATAAGCAGTTAGCGGTCGTTGGTGAATACGGCCGTTATAGTCATGATCTTGTTATGATCATATGCAGAGAAACGGTTTTTATTTTATTTTTTAGCGGAAAACCGTGCAACGGATCATAAAAAATCAATAGTGATCAACTTTTCTTGGAAATGATTGGGGATTTCAACAATAATTTTTATTTTAAGAGAAATCAGTGGCGTACCATCTGTCTGCCAAAATAGGCAGCTCAAATTCCGTACGAACGTCACTGGTGGAAATGAAAAAAAATGTGGTAGGTAGGTACATTAAAAAATGCCTGTTGAATTGTTGATACATGTAGTATAGATGAAGCTGTCGTAGAGCATGCCAAATTTCATTTAAAATATCTGAAGTGGTGTTACAGATATCAATAATAAATTATTCATTTTTGAAAACTCTTATCACCCTGTATCTCAAAAGTTAAGAGCAGGCATACGAGTGATGTGCAAAAAGTATCTATCCAATTAAAAAGGTCGGATTCTATTGCTAAATTTGAAGTATCCGATACTTTATTTTCAAATACTTGGATACTCTGGAAACTTTTTTTTCTCGCGCTACAATATCCTTATAGAGTGAATGCACATGAATATGGTCTAGCGAGCAGCGGTGAAATTATAAAATCCTTCAAAAATTACAGAAATCTGTAATCGTGCAGCTTGCAGATTTGTAATTTGTACGAAATCCGTGCGCTATGCTACATCTACATAGACTTCGTAACTGGTTGTCTGTGGAATTCCCCGCTAGTTATGCGTAATACCCAATCCCAACACATAGGTTCTAAAGTATCTAATACAAAGTATCCGATACATTTAACTCAAGTATCCATTCGATACCGATACTCCTAATCCTAAGTATCCAAGTTGCACATCACTACCGGGCCAAAAATCGCCTTCCTAAAATATTGACATATTGGAAGAAATCTTATACCTACTAACCGATAATTTTATTTTTACTTTTAATTTGGTAATTAATTAGTTAACTAGTTTTGCTTTATGTTCGTCCTCACTTTTTTCTATTTCGAATCTTTTCAATTTGATAAGTACGCGAATCTCTCTTGTTCGCATATTGTTATTATATAAATTTTATAATTTATATTGCACCAGAATCCAATAACTTAACTCTGGGACGTGATCCTGTTCATACGCTCCGCTCCAACTTCGTTTTCCCAAGAAGTCGAACACCGAACAGTTCGAACCGACCCAAGAGCGCGAAAATCTTCATTTCAGGTATTTGTCGTCCTTGTCATCAGCTTTTATTTAGACAAAGAGACATTGACCGATTGCCTTTAGTTCTTTTCTCTAATGAATAAGATTAATCAAAAAACAATGCACTGCTAAAATCGCGGGTTTCGAGCCATTCACCATAAATAAGCGCAATGACTGGCAAAATTTTTATTCCCGCCTAAACCCAGCGTAAAATCTAGAAATTGGAATGGCAGCCGCACGCCTTCCGTTTGTGACGTCATATTAAGGCGGCCATCCAAGGATCCCCAAGCGTTGCGTTCTCTATTTATTTGACGTTTGACGTTGGGCCGAGCAAGACAGGGAAGAGGAAATTATTTCGTGGTGGTTAAATTCTGATTTTGTTCGCGTTTTTTGAGTGAAATTGTGAGAAATAATGGCTCCAGGTAATGCTGATTGACTAAATTATTTATTCGTAATTATAAGCTAGTAAATTTCGTGTTGAACTTACCTTTGCATTTTCGATGTTCCGGCAAGTTGCTATGACATATTTTGGCGAAAATTTAGTTTTCACTAGTTGTTTGACAAGTCCTAAACCTAATCCGCGATTACATCCAGTTATTAAAATCGATCTCATTTTTTTATCGTTTTACCGAATAAAATAAATTAAAACTGCTGAGATTAGTCAAACACCTTGGCTACTTGCACTTACTCCAGTTTTACTCCTTGGCACTTGAACCGGGTTTTTTTAAATCAAGATGGCTGCCAGTTTGTTTTTAAAACCTTTGATGTCTGTTGATTTGTGTAAAATTATTAATCTAAATTTCATGCTGGTAAAAAATATGTCTTCCGTTGTTCTTCCCGCCGCCGTCGTAAATCCCAGTGAGTATTAAATTTTGATTTGACTTGATTTGATAGCCTTTAAAATCTGTGAACTGAAAATAGAGGTTATGTGATGCAATTTCATGTAACCTTCGGATTTAGTGGCCCCGCACTCGATTTAAAAGGATTTTATCTTGAAACTGGGTTAAAACATTAAGGTCTGTGAACCTAGCAGTCCCAAGGTGAAAAATAAAAGAGGGCCTTATGGGGGCCTTATGTAATAATTAGGTGCTCTTAGGGGCATATTCTCCGTAGTTCATAAAGCCTGGCTTAGTGGAAACACTTGCCATATTCTCCGTAGTTCATAAAGCCTGGCTTACTGGAAACGCTTGGCTTTTTGTGTGACAAAGCCGAGCTTTTCTACTAAGCCAGGCTTTATGAACTACGGAGAATATGGCCCTTGGCTTTTTGTGTGACAAAGCCGAGCTTTTCCACCAAGCCAGGCTTCATGAACTACGGAGAATATGGCCCTTAGGGGCATATTCTCCGTAGTTCATAAAGCCTGGCTTAGTGGAAAAACTTGGCTTTGTCACACAAGAAACCAAGCGTTTCCACGAAGCCAGGCTCTATGAACTACGGAGAATATGGCCCTTGGCTCTCAAGAAAATCAAAAAAAAAACTAAGTGGCTGCTAGGTTTATGAAAGCTAGGGCCTTTAAAAAAAAGTGCTCGAAAGCACAAATAGTCCACCATCATACCACATAGTTTTGAAGTTACAATCTATTAGGTAAAATATTCCACACCCCTTTTCCCGCCTTATTCTTGCACCACATTATCTAAAATGAATAGGAATCATGACATGCTAACATAGGATTTTCATGCCAAATTTTCAGTTTACAGTTAATAAGGTACATACATTATACATCCCAAAGGGTGCTAGGCTGCAAAATGGCACCAGACCCACTATACCCAGTCACAGAAACAACAATAAAGCCCCATGAACATTCATTCCTTACTTAACAGGAAACTAAAGTTGCATTCTTTAATCACGTAGGCAATTTGTTGAAAATATTAACACAATTATAAGTGAACCCTCGTTGAAACAATGAGGTTCTATGATGTGTCATTGGTAGAAAATGTTTATTTCTTAAACTACAACCATGCACAGCCTCTCTAAAAGTGAGTTTTTCATTAATTTTCATACAAACGAATAGGCTCTTTGTTCATTATCAACTTTCTAAAAAACACTAATAATATAAATGTAACTATTTTCACATTTGAGCCAACCCAATGCTTTGATATTGGCGGAAATATGATCAAACATTCTTAATTTATATACAAATCTACAACGAGTGTTTTGGACATACATATTGAATTCTTTTCCTAGTTACGGCATTCAAAAATGGCTAGTACACTACAAAACAATATGAATCCTATATAGACATAATGAGAGCTTCACATAATTTTTTCCGAGGGGTCAACCACTATCATTACAAATGTAAAATGATTTCCATATTTGGCAATCACTGATCAATGAATCTCATGTAGTCCCATCCCAAGAATGGTGACTGATTGCTCATGATTTTCAGATTGTATGATTACCAGGTGATTCCCATTTTTTTCTGGGATTTCTATATCATTCCCAACTGATTACCTGATTTCCACAATGATTTTTTATAATCATTCCATTTCCAGCTGATTTCATTATGTCTTCGCAATAATATGACCAAAATAAACACATTTTCACTGGAAAATACACATTTCCACAGGAAAATTGGCAACTTCTGTATTTGCAACGCTTTCAAAAGTTAGCAACTTTTATTTTCATGGTTGTCCACACCGACATCAATTTTGTTGTAGCTAAAAATAATTGTTGAGCTCTAGATACCATTGCATGTCTACACTGCATAATATGGATCTATGGATCTAAAATAATGATATTTATTTGATTTCACTAGGATGTTCATCTGAATCAGAAACATCTTCAGTTAGAGTTTCAATTGACAAACTTATTTCTGATTCAGATGTGCTATCGTCTCTGCTTCTCGGACTGCCTAGTATTTATTCTACTTTCCTCTTTTCAAGTTCCTATTGCCTTGGATTCTCGACTTTTTCTTTTGTGTCTTCCTCATAGCTCTTAATACTCAATCGACAAACGTCCCTGATTCTCTGAAAAAAATCAAATATTAAAGTTGAGCCCTGAATTAGAGATTGAAGTTTACCGGTAATTTTCATTTGTTCTTTCTCAGCGGTAATTTACCGGTAATTTTTCGATAATTTTGGTAATTTTAGTAATTTTGGGAATATTTTACAAAATAAACAATTAAGACCATAACTACATATACGTTCAAGGATTATTTACCCTTATGCAAAGTTTCGTCGTTTTTGAGATATCAGCATTTCTAGATATTTTTGAACTGTTCCTAAAACAAGTATTGTTTTTTTTTTGGTAGTAAACACTTTACCCTTTCTCAATTTTTTCTCCGATATTCCTAGTCTGCACTTTTTCAGAAAATACGGAAAAAAAAACTGAATAATTGATACAAAAAATATGTAACCCAAGTTACCTATGTGTTAAGTTAAAATACATGGATTCAAAATATCTAAAAATGCCAATATCTCAAAAAACGGTGAAACTTTTCATTAGGGTAAATATGGTCAAATAGTTTCAAAATGACCCCAACTATCACTAATTGAAATATTCCTATCGATTTACCAAACACCCTGTATACTTACAGGATTTTTTACCTAAACCAATATTCTCTAGTTTTTATTCTCATCGGTGACTTCACTGGTGAGTAACCTATCTTTGTTTGATGAATGGAAAATGAAAATGACGGCCATAGAATGGTGGATTCATCAGTAAAATTTGATGAGAATAAAAACGTAGGGTATTTTATCATAATTGTGTTTGTTGTAAAACTTAACCTCATAGAAATATTGCAATAAACAAATAATAATACCTAATTCCTAGAACGAAAAACGAGTAAAGAAAATCAAACACCTGGAAAAACGTTACACGTAACTCTTGCAGAGAATGTCTTTTCCACCCTTGACCACATCCCTTAACAGCTTGCCAACTGCCGTCGCGGGCGGAAAAGCACCACTTTCTGCACTTGTTAGGTAACTAAATATTTTTTATTATGTTTTCTGAAAATTACTGGTAAATAAATTTGTCGGGTTAAATTACCAAAATTACCGCTACCGAGGTAACGTTACCACACTTCAATCTCTACCCTGAATAATCTTTAACTTGTAGCAAATCACAATTGCTAAACCCTGATGTGTGAAGAAATTCTATGTCTTCTTTAGGCAAGTCAGATTCGAGAGATGTGAGTCCTATGTGATTCCCATGGAGTCATAGGAGATTCTCAGGTTATTTCCAGGGACTCCCAAGTGAAAAAATGTACAATGATTTCCACTAGTGGTTTAACCTTCGATTTTTTCCTATTTTTAAAGTTTAATATGTGTCCATTCGCATATAGAGGTTTTATTTTTACATAACTTTTCTTCAATAGAGTTGAAATATGTTTCTGAAAGGATAAATTTATGTCGATATGCCTATATGCCCAAAATTTTTTCAGAGTTTGCAAATACCCCAGCAAATAGTAACAATTCTCCATCAATTTCTATAGAGAGCCTATTTAAAAGATTATTTCTATTATATTGGGTTCTTCTATGATGAAAAGACATTTTTCTTCAATAGATCTTTTAATAAGCTTCACAAATGACTGAGGACGGTGTAAAAGAAACCAATACAAAAACTATAATATTAACTAATGACATCCCCTGTCATCTCCAAACAATACCTTAACTACCAGTGTAGGAACATGGCAGGGTTGATATACCAATCTGGCAAGTGAACATCTTACATGCCAATTTCAATGGTATAGAATGAAATAGCTAGGAAAAGTCTAAGGTTAAATAGAGAACGGAAAGGATTTCCCCTGTTCCACCTCCAGGAGTCCCAGTGGTCCATGCTGGAGGTGGAACAGGGGAAATCGTTTTCGTTCTCTTTTTAACAATAAACTTTTTTTAGGCATTTCATTCTATTGCATTAAAATTGGCCTGTGAGATGTTGGGGTTAAGTAACATAGTCCTTTAAATATAAGGGTCTCTTAATGTGACGCTTTGGTCTACTAATTCTAGAACTAGCACTTTCATTCCAATTGCATCACTTTTCATACATCCGATTGAACTTCGGATTCACACACTTTCACTGAAACTATTATCTAATTGTACCTACATCAGATTGAAATTCAACATTTTGGTTTTGATTAACACAGTTTTCCAATCTAGCATTAGTGGAATCAACTATATTAGAAAATGATGGTCTATTAGTGGTTATATTAAATTTATGATTGCAAGGAAAAATAGTTTCATTAGAACATAGTTCTGATGGTTTGCTGATACGAAAAACGTTCTATTTCTTCAAAAATTACCTCTCTGAGTTTCGATAAGATAAGACGTCGGCTCCTTAAGCTTTTGAATAATTTTTCCATATGTTTTGAGATCAGTCACCCATACATTTTCATTAACCTTTAAGGGCCGGTTCGACAACTCAAGTATATCCTGAGTATAGGCTATACCTAGTATAAAAGTTAATTTTTGAGTTCTAAATGGAACTTTTATGCTAGGTATAGCCTATACTAAGGATATACTTGAATTGTGGAACTGGCCCTAAATCGAACAGCTCTCTGGTATGATGACGCCCATTATAATTCTGCCTCATGTTTTCTCTTTACTTTTCCTCCCTTTTGAAAATTTGGTTTGTATCAACCGTTGGATTAAGTATAGTCAAAATTGGAAGATGAGAACGAATCTTCCTGCTAAATAATAACTCTGCAGGAGTGAAACTATTTTCCAAAGGAGTGGTATGGTGTGCTAACAAAAATACATTTAAATCATCACTTTTTTAATAAGATTTTTAGCAGTTTTGACAGCCGCTTCAATACAACCATTAGACTGAGGATATTTAGGACTGCTTGTTATATGAGCAATATAATATGAACGAAATTACAATTTTTAGCAAATTTTGTAAATTTATCTCGGAACTGAGGTCCATTCGTTATCAGATCTCACTATTTCCAGTAAACCATACAATGGTGTTATGAAACAAGTTAAATCCTGACATTCGTTATCTAGTTTAATTTGATGAGAACCAGAAGTGGTGTCTATATGACTAAAATACTTAGTACATGGAGTATGATATTTTGCCGGTTCTATAATATCCAATTTCTGTAAGCGTTCAAGTTCATCTTTGAGAGGTTTAAGTAATGGAAAGGGTACAATACATGGAACTGATTGTATAAATGACTAAACATTTTCATCAATCTTAATTTTGAATTCTGTTTTAAAAGTACCCAATTGATGAAAAATTTTAGGAAACCTTTGCTCAATTTCTTCCAATATAAGAAAATTGACTTTTGAAGCAAATCCATCACCAAATTGCAAAAGGTTTAAATCTGTTATCGCAGATCGACCTAAGATTGGTTTGGTTTACATAGTTCTTCAATGACATAGTGTCGGTGAAACATTTATTTTTAGAATGACTTAGGGCCGGTTCGACAATTCAAGTATATCCTTAGTATAGGCTGTACCTAGCATGAAAGTTCAATTTAGAGCTCAAAAATTAACTTCTATACTAGGTATAGTCTATACTTAGGATATACCTAAATTGTAAAATATTCAAAATAATTTCTACATTTGTATATTACTGGTAAAATATAATTTATTCATTCATTTATTCTTCAATAGAGTAGAGAAAAAAAAAATAGAATTTTTGTCAACAATCAACCATTATAGAAATATGTACTTAACAAGAGTTATGACAAAATTCTTACTTCAATAAAACTTAATAATAACAAAAGCATCTCTGTAATCAGCTCCAAGACAATTTCTATACACATACTCAAAATTATTCTTCATTACTGGTAGTGATGTGAACAAGGGAACGTTCTGATTGTGCTTTCGAGAACATTCGCGCACGAAAAAAAGGTTCGTGCTGAATATTACCTTCGGAGCACATTGAGCATGATAGAGAATATTCAGCACGTTCTCAAGCACGAGCTGTTGAAGGCGGAGATATATCGAATATTGAGCACGAGAACCAGAAAGCAACTTAGCAGCAATAGCTATTTTTTTGTAAGCAAAGGTAGCGTTGTACTGGAATATACTCAAACTAAAATCACTATTTTATTTTATTATCGAAAAAAAAGTCTCCTAAATTGTATGTTGAAGTTTCACAGAAAACCCCAAATTAGAATTATTATTGTTGTCAAACATGACACAAATTATGAGATTAAATGCTGGTAATTTTGCTCTCATTTGACAGTTAAAAATAATCAGGGGTTAGAATGTGCTCTAACCACATCATACTTATAGACCTTGGCCCATGCAAAACTTTGACAACGTATCAAATTTGTTAATCGAGAGCACAAGTATCGGTCCTAAATATGTATTATATTTTCCTAAGAAGTTTGAGAATTTTCAGCACATTTATAAAGAATTTTCAGAATATTCAGAACTTTCACAAGAAATTTGGGAATTTCGGGAAATTTGAGAAAAATCAGAATTTATTTAGAAAAATGTTTTGTTTTATTCAGCGTCTGATGAAAAGCATAAATTCTCGGGTCCTGCTCGTTTTTGCTCGTTTATGCTCGTTAATTCTCGATCCTGCTCGGAGAACGTTCTCCGAAAATACTTGCTCGAGCATTTTACATCACTAATTACTGGTGAAAAATTCAGCACACAATGATATTTATAATATTGTTTGTGTGCTATTGACTATCTATCATTTTGAAATTTTTATTTAATTGATTTCTTTTACAGTCAAGTATACCTACGATCTTGTGGTAATTGGAGGTGGTTCTGGAGGCTTAGCAGCTGCTAAGGAAGCCGCTTCTCTGGGTGCAAAAGTAGCAGTCTTGGACTATGTCACACCCTCTCCGGTGGGAACAAAATGGGGTCTTGGAGGCACTTGCGTCAATGTTGGCTGCATTCCCAAGAAGCTCATGCATCAAGCAGCTTTACTCGGTGAAGCTATTCATGTACGTTTTATAATGCATAAATACAATTATTTTAAATAGATTACGGCTGATTGTGTAATTTATTTACATCAAAGCCTTATTTATCTAAATAAAACAAAGGTACCTGTCACTTTTTAATATTCCATAACAATATTTTTGGAGAAGGTTTTAATGATTCTCCTCAACATAACCTTCTAACAAGGCTCTGCTCGCACTTGTCCTCGGGGACGTCTTTAGTTTGGTTAAGATGTACCATCAAAAATTCTAGAAAATTTGTAGATTTTCTGGTGGTATCACATTCCATTTATTGTTGAACTAATATACAAATTAAAATATTACATATCATCAATTTATTATCAAAACAAATCAAAGCGTCTGTGTAGAAAAATCAGGTGCTTGAAAATTTTTGACTCGATCACCAAATTCTAATTTTGGCGATCATCTTATTTTTCATTCACCATATTGCCAATTAGTTTTTGTGAAAGCTTTTATTTGAATGAGCATGAGTCTTTTGCAAGCGTGCCTATAACCAGTCCAAATCACATCGCAATTTTTGTGTAAATCAGGTATGGTGACATTGCTGCAAAAAAAAATATTCATGTGTAGAATAACCTGTCTGCACGGAGAAATTATAAAAATAAAACTGATTATCAATACCAGATTGAATAAATATCAATTAACTAAGAAAAACATAAAAAAATATAAGACACCAAGAAAGGAAATTGGTTTGCGTGCTTGCTCCTTATTAATATCACCTTGCTTCCAGCCAAAATTAAACAATAAATCAATACTTATCTACTTTTCCAAAATCAACATATAAAATTATTATGAGTTGATTGAAGTGCTTTAAGCGTCATTTGTAAGCTTTTTAACAATTTACGTTGGTCGCGTTTTACCAAAATTGATAGTACATTATTGAAGAGGCCATTTCATGGTGTTGAAGTTATTTTCAATTAGGCAATTCAAACCACGTGACTTTCAAGATGGCGTGGCGGCCACACATGGGCTAAAAAACACAAAAAAATATCTAGTTTCAGCCCGACTTGAAAGTTTACGTACCTAGTCAACAAATATTTTATTGGATAGTCCAAATCAAAGTTGCAAACAAAACTCGAAGCAAAATAATTAAAATATGGATGAAAATACATGTTCGAAACAAACTTGCTGGCCGCCACGCCATATTGAATTTTTTGTTTTGACAGATGGATTGAATTGCCTAATAATTAAAATTAATCATTCAAACAAAATGTTTGATTTTTTCTTTCTGACTTCATTTAATAATTAATCTTTTGGACTGTTAGTACTCTAAAACCCAATTATAGATGCAATAATTAATATTTGGTCAATTTGGTATTTGAGATTTAGAAGCTGCTATCAAAATGTATTTTTCTAGTAGTCACAACTATTGACTATTGACTTTTCCAAAGTACCGTTTCTCACAGCATATATGCGCAATTTGTCACTATTTCCTATGATAGAATAATAAATTAGAATCTTCCATATTCCCCAATCTGTCCTTGTTTTTGTATGGCTTGTTTTTGTGTTTATATTTTAGAATTAATTCTTCCATACATTTGATATGGGACAAAAGGTCCTTACCAAAAAAACATGTCAATTGATTTTTGATACTTCTATGTCCTAGCTAATTTTGATACATGAATTCCCTTTTCAGGATTCGAAGAGTTATGGATGGACTGTTGGTGATAATGTAACACATGATTGGTTAACTTTAAAAGATGGTGTACAGGGACATATTAAATCTGTCAATTGGGTTACTAGAGTTGAACTCAGAGATAAGTAAGTTTTGCAAAAATGTCTGCTCTAATAATACTAATACGATTCTTATTTTCCTAGGAATGTTGAGTATATCAATGGTCTAGGTACCTTTGTTGATGCCAATACCATTACCACTGTGGCCGCTAAACCAGGTAAACCAAAAGAGGAGAAAATCCTTTCAGCCAAATACTATTTGATTGCTGTTGGTGGAAGGCCCAGATACCCTGATATTCCCGGTGCCATAGAATACGGTATTACTAGCGATGACATCTTCAGTTTGGGAAAAGCACCTGGAAAGACTGTCATTATTGGTGCTGGATACATTGGCTTGGAATGTGCTGGGTTTCTTACAGGCTTGGGATATGACACTACTGTGATGGTTAGGTCTGTACCACTCAGAGGATTCGACCAGCAAATGGCTCAGACCGTGGTTGACGAAATGAAAGATAAGGGCACCAAGTTTTTGAATGAGTAAATAATTTGTTTTTTTTTTTTTTTAATTTTTGATCTATTCTCATATTTTGTTTTGTAGATGCATCCCAACTAAAGTTGAAAAACTGGATTCTGGCAAATTGAAAGTATCATGGACCGACAAAGAGAAAAATACTTTCAGTGACGAATTTGACACCATCCTTTTTGCTATTGGACGTCGTGCTCTTACCAGGGAATTGAAAACAGAATTGGCCGGCATTGAACTGGCTGGAGATGCGGAAAAAATCGTCGCAGTTAATGAGCAGACTAATGTTCCTCACATTTATGCTGTTGGAGATGTCTTATATGTAAGTTGAATTATGTTTATGTTTTTTTGGAGAACATAATATAGTACATTGCAATCTAACAAATGGAGCTTGCTTGTCCGTTTGTGGCAGCTTTTCTTTGTGGAATGTCCTATAATGTATTTAGCACTCAATATTGTCATTTTACAGTTGTTGAGTGACTAAGTTAGTGGTGTACTTTTGTTTGTTTTCAAAGCAGTGGCAAAATATATTTTTTAATTTTAGAAAAAGCCTGAGTTGACCCCAGTTGCCATTCATGCTGGTAGATTGTTAGCAAAAAGATTATTTGGCGGTAGCACAGAGACTATGGATTACCAGAACATTGCCACAACTGTATTCACCCCCTTGGAATATGGTGCTGTGGGTATGTATTTGATAATTTGAGTGGGTTGCTCAATAATCTTAATATGCTTTTCTTTAGGGCTAAGCGAAGAGTCTGCAGTGGCGAAATATGGGGAAGATGCAGTCGAAATCTATCATGGGTACTATAAACCAACTGAATTCTTCATACCCGGAAAGAATTTCAGGAACTGCTACCTCAAGGTAGTCTCTCTCGTGGGTCCAGAGCAAAAGGTGTTGGGCATGCATTTTATTGGCCCTCAGGCTGGCGAAGTCATCCAAGGATTTGCAGTGGCAATCAAGTAAGTTGGTTTTTGTGCATATATTTTTTTAAAATTTGAATACTTAATTTTCGATTGATTTAATAATTTAATTTTTTGTGTTAAGCACCAGTAAATCAATGGGGCGAGGCAAGGTTGACTCCTATATCTATAAAAAATAAAATAATCATGACCTAGATAACCACCTAAAAAGAGTTTATAGTAAATCTGAGCTAATTTTTATGAAGGAATTCAGCATTTTGTAGCATTCGTCAGTGTTGTTCCCTTTTAATGTCGACGTAAAAGCTCTAACCAAATGTTGAGGAACTAATTCAAATCATATTAAATGTGCTTTATTGTCAAAAAAAAATAAACATTTTTGCGGACAAAGCAGACTAATTCTAGGTGAATAACAATAAATAGGTAAGAAACCGTCGAATAAACACACACAAAAAAAAACATTAAAAAAAAACAAACAAACAAAAATATGCAAATTATACAAGCACCATCAGCCACAAAAAGCACCAGAGCACTAAATGGTGTCATCATTAAAATATTCCTCAGTTCTGTAGTAGGCCTTTTCGATGAGAAACGTCTTGAGAATTTTTCTAAAATGCTTCAAGCCCCGCGCGTTTCTGATCACGACGGGAAGGTGGTTGAATATTTTTCTTCCCTCATAAATAATTGACCTTTGCACCAGTGCGCTTGAGGGAACCGGCAATGGAAGGTCATGAATTTGCGGAGTGATGCGTACACGAACAGGATCACAGTCATTTCTTGGGTTCTTAAAAATAATCGATGCAGTTTCAAGAATGAATAGACCAGTAAGAGTAAGAATCTTTTGAGAAATAAAATGGGGTCTGCATGAGTCTCTGTAACCAACATTAACAATGGCACGAACAGCCTTTTTTTGCAGAAGAAAGATAATATTCACTAGATTCTGGGAAGCCACACCCCAGAATGGAATGCCATAGCGTAGGTGGCTTTCGAAAAGAGCAAAGTAGACTGTCCGCGCTACTAGCAAACCAAGCTCAAATCTAGTAGTTCTTATGGCAAAACATGCCGAGGACAGCTTACTGCTTAATCCCATGATATGGGACTCAAATTTCAAGCCAGAGTCAATATGAACACCCAAAAACCTATTCTCTAATTTGGCCTGCAGATCCTCACCCTCCAGCCTCACTTCCCGGACATCACCCCTAAAACAAACAAGGCTAGTTTTGGCGACGTTAAAAGAGAGGAGATTTGCACTGCACCAGCTTTTGACCATTGCCAGATCCTCCGATATCCGGTACCTCAATTGATCAGTATCTCTGTCGTGCCATACAATAGATGTGTCGTCTGCAAAAAAAGTGAATCTCCCAGTAATGTTTACCAAGGACAGATCATTGACATAGACCAGAAACAACAAAGGACCCAACACCGATCCCTGAGGGACCCCATGACGCACCTCAAGTGCTAAAGACCTGGCGCCGGCAACAACCACAGACTGCCTGCGTCCACCAAGGTAAGAGGCAAACCATTGAAGAGCCTCGCCCCTGAAGCCGTAACACTCTAGCTTGGCCAGCAGAATTCCGTGTTCGACACAATCGAAAGCCTTCGATAGGTCACAAAACACCGCTGACACCGCCTCTCCCGCATTAATGTGCTGGTACACGTGATCCAAAAAGGAAAAAATGGCATCATGAGTCCCCTTCGCATTTAGGAACCCAAATTGGTAGGGAGTAATTAAATTGTGTCGTTGAAGATAGCTGAGAACTTTTTTTTTGACAATTTTCTCGAAAACCTTGGAAAGCGCAGGCAGAAGCGATATGGGACGAAAGTTAGAAGGATTATCACGGTCACCTCCCTTGTGCAATGGAATAACGACAGCCTCCCTCAAGCACGCCGGAAACTGACCACTGCTCCACGAGCTGTTAATGGAGAAGGCCAGCGCTTTCAGGGCAGCATCCGGCAAGCGGAGAAGCACCTCGACCGAGATTTCATCGTGCCCACAAGCCCTCCTATTCTTGATGTTGCCCAAAGTATCCCTGACCTCGTTTAAGTCAGTAGGAAAAAATGAAAAAGAATCGCGAAGAGAGAAACCATTCAAAAACAAAAGTGGGTCACAAGCAGGACTCAGTTTTTCATGAAGGGTGTCAGCTATGCTGCAGTAGTAGTTGTTTAGACGGTCTGGATCTACCTCGATATCATGAGAGCCTTGCCCGCCATGCCTGCAACACAGCTCATTCACAATTGACCAACTCTCCCTCTGTCGGTTTCCCGCCCCTGCGAGCCTCTCAGCGTAGTACGCTGATTTTGCGGATTTAATCACCCTTTTATAAGTTTTCAGGTATGCTTTACAGTAGGCCAGGAAGTTAGGATTATCAGAGAACTTTTTCATGTAGTTAAGAGACCGCACATTTGCAGCTGATATTTTTATGCCCCTTGTAAGCCAAGGCTTGCGTTTCTTACTCACTACTAGAATACACTTGATGCAAGCATAGTATTGAAATGCACTTTTTAAGACTGATTTTACCAGTTTAGGCAATAAATTTATGAACAACATTTCTGAGTTTTTGTCAAAAAAGCTGTTCAAAACTGATTTTGGTGATTGCCTTCATTTAGACTACTGAACATTTTAGAGGATATCATATAAAACAATAATTTCAAATATTTCAGATGTGACCTGACTGTGCCGATCTTGATGAACACCGTTGGCATCCACCCGACCATTGCTGAAGAGTTTACCAGGATCAAAATCACTAAGAGGTCTGGACAAGACCCCAATCCAGCATCTTGCTGCAGTTAAACTCACTAGCAATCCGGTATTTGGGGTGTTTAGTATTTATAATGTTCATTATTTTTTATAATAATATTATTTATCATTTCACATAAAATTTTTCATAGAACCTAAAAAAAATTAACTATTTTGTTGAAATAAAACTCTTAACATGTCACTGCTATCTCTACAAGGCGTAACAAACTCCTCAATGGTGCTTTGTTTCTGGACTTTCTTATTGCGCCTCTGTGGCCTCTAGATAGTCTTGCAGCCATACATCTTGTTTCTGATCCTGATAAATTTGAACTCCCTGTATGATTTTTTTTGTTCCATATTATATTGCATTAATAATAGTCTACAACTATTTGAAACGTTCACCATCTGGCATTGATTAGATGGACTTTGCCCCAAGGAATTATTTGCCTTTTCAAACATTTATTTTAGTCTGTATTGGTTACTCAGGTTTGTTTTGCACTTTTAAGTCACTATTGCGATTTTTCACGTAACTTTTATTCATGAAAAAAAGTAAATTTACAGGAGTCTGATCAGAAACATCTGCACAGTGTTGCATCTGAAAAGTGTCACTGGCAACAAACACGTTGGACAATTTTATTTCAGCAATAAAAATGATGTTAGGTAGTACAAATATTTTTTTTCTTTAGTTTTTAGTTTCTATGAAATCTTTTATTATTCTAGTAATATTTTTGATTTTTGTTATTTTTGAACGTCACTGTGATCGCGAATGAATGTGAATCACCGATTACACTCCTTATCTTAGAAGTATTATGAATACATTTGTTTAGTTTTCTGTTTTTTATGTAAAGAAGAATTCATGCACATCAAGTATGTCTTTGAGTCACACAAACATAGATATTTGGTGTGTTGTTTTCTTTTATTAGAATATTAATTTGGTTTATTCAATGTTGTTTGAAACAATTGGTTGCAGTTGTTTGATTAAAAAAATGCGGCCCCCATGATATTATTCAACATAAGAAGGCATTACTATTTTTGTATTTTGTATGGTAATATTGTTGTAATTACGGGCTTACTTAAGAATTTGTTAATGAGTTTTTCAAAGATATTTAATAAATTATACGTAATTTGATACTTATGCTTTTTTTTCTGATCTTCATTCATATTTTTTTATTTATTGACCATTGTCCAGTTAAAACATTTTCGGGATCGGTAAGATGTTTTTTACTTTCTCTGGAACACTGGACGTTTCAAAGCTGGAAGAAACAAAGAGACAGTGAATTTTGTTCAGAATTGATGCAAATTGGCAATTATTTAATACCATCTCAAATAATTTAAAGTTTTTACCAACATTATTTAATAAGTTTTCATATCAAGATCAAGAAATTAGATGAAGAAGAGAATAAACATATCTAGAGAAGCAAAAAAGAAATACCCACCACAACTTATGTAAATTGACTTAACTGGGCAAGTTTGTCTCTCTTGGCCAATTCTACAAATATTATTTTTTTCTTAAAGCCAACTGAGATAATGTCCTCCTCTACTTTAAGGTGCTTATACATATTTTCAAACTCGGGGAGATACAGTCCTTTCCATTAATTTTTAGCGAATTATAGGCCCTACACCCTTTCATTTGATTGGATGCTGAAAATGTATTGGAAAGTGTATGTTTATTTTTTTAAATTTGTTTCAGTTTCTTAATTATCACTCAATAGTATATTACATTAAGAGTGTAGAAAGTGACAAATTTCACACAAGTGTCTTTTCGCGTGAGGCGGTAGTCGACTGCGAAAATCACATGAGTATATGAAAGACGCTTTCCCACGAGTGATGTACAGGGTGTTTCCTCATATTTTGACCCCTACCTACAGCTTTAGCTATACGAGGTGGAAAAAAACTTTGAATGTGAAAGTTGTACGGTTTTATCGGTAGTATGGAGCTTCTAAAACAAACAAATTCAAACCGCAAAGTTATGATTTTTTAAAATGGAACACCCTGTGTATTTTTAGCTCTAATGGAAATCCTTTTTCTTCTGTTTTCAAATATACCATATATGTTGATATTTGGTTTTGCTGTTTTTATGCTATTTATGTTTAAATATTGGCTGAAATTGGTGAGCTTAATACACAAACTGATGACTATTCCGCAACTATTCAAGAAATGAAAACTTCCATCGAAACACTTTCTGTCGAAAATGAGCAGCACATTTTGGAAATAAAACATCTCAAAAATGAAATTTTCAAGCTGAGTCAGTCTCCAACTGCAGTTTTGCAAGATAGCAGAGATGCGCTCTATACAAAATTGTACAACGACCTTTCGGGTGTTTTTAATGCTAAGTTTTCGGCCCTTGAAGCTCTAGTTAAGCGCTCGTGTTCCAGTAACAGCACTAATAATGATACTGTCACAAAAAGCACGACAAGTGCCAATATAAACAACAACAACAAAAAGTTCAACGCTCAAACGAGCACCGCAATGCATCTATCAAATGCCGAAATGCTTCCAACTAACAGACGGAACAGTCGTAAATTCTCGGCAATCACTGGCACAAAAGCAACAAATAGTGCTGGAATCTCTGCGGCTACCATCCTGCCCAAAACAGCCATTTTTGTTCGTAAATTATCCAATGACGTTTCCAAGGATAACTTATTAAGGTACTTACATGATATATTTGGTAACGAGGAACAGTTCACACTTGAAGAACTTAATTCAAAATCTGGAGATTACAAATGTTTCAAAATTGTGGCCAACAACGATTTAGAAACGTCCTTATTAGACCTGAAGAATTGGCCAATCGATGTCGAAATTAAAAAGTTTCAGTCCTTTCGTCATAACAGAATTAGTAACCACCCTGCAATCCTTGGTCCCAGAATCTCTAGACAAAAAGGTCGACTTAACCAACGAAACTACTAATAAGGACCCGGAGTAGTCTGTAAGCCTCTATTATCACAATGTAGGTGGCCTTAGGACAAAAACTCATGAACTTTTCAAAAATACAATAACTTCCAATTACGATTTTATCATATTGACTGAGACTTGGTTAAACAATTCCTTTGCTGATGGTGAACTATTTCCATTGCAATATACAGTCTTCCGGAGGGATCGTGATTATGAAGCCACCAATATATAACGGGGCGGGGGAGTACTTATTGCCACGAATAATGACTATCAATCCTCCTTAATAGATACTGTTTCATTCGTCGACTTTGAACAACTCTGGATTCAAAGCAACTGCAACGGTCACGAGATAGTTATTGGGGTGGTTTATATACCACCTAGCTTATCGGAAGCAATTTATAAATCATTTGTAAGAATCTGTGAATCACTTAAAGACAGATATAGAAACGCCACATTCCTGGTCTTTGGAGATTTCAACCTTCCCTATTTAAATTGGATCATGGAAGATGACACTTTGTTTCCCGAAGCCACACACACTGCGGCCGAGCAAACACTCATCGATTCGATGTTTTTTATGGAACTAGAGCAATTGAACAGCATTAAAAATGGCAACAATAGAAGTCTCGATTTAATTTTTGCTAGCAGATTGGATTCCCATGACATAAGAAAAAGTAGTTTTCCCCTTTGTACTGTGGTCGATATTCACCCACCACTAGAACTTGAGTTTAAATATAAGGGTAGAAAAAATATGAAAAATACTTATCCTATTAGTGTTTATCTTTTCAAGAAAGCAAACTACGCACAACTCAACGAGTTTTTAAACAACATTGACTGGGAAAATCTGTTACAACAATCTGACCCAAATGTTGCCGTCGCTCACTTCTATGAAGTAATATACCAGGGCATTGACTTATTTGTACCCGTACCCAAGAAGGTAGTTAAAACTAATAAGTATCCAAAGTGGTTCAACTGTGAACTAAGGAAACTAATCGGTCATAAGAATAAACTGTACAAGAAGTATAGGAGATCGCGATCGGGATCAGATTACAAGCCTACTCAGTTGCAAGACGCAAAGTTAGATATCATACAGACATGTGTTACCTGCTTCATGTAACCAAGACTCAACACTTAATACCATCAAACGTTAAGCATTTCTGGTCTTACATCAAGTCACTTAGAAGGGATGAAGGTCTGCCATCCCAGATGCAACTGGATCATATCAAATCTTCTCATCCGAGACAAATCGCCGAACTATTCGCTAAACACTTCAAAAGCTGTTTTTCTGATCATACTAATGTGCAACTTAACGGAAATCACTCCGTCGATTTTGGAGCAAATTTGTCAGATCATACGTTCATGGCTGGAGAAATAAGGGAGAAAATCCTTAATTTGGACATTTCCAAGAGTCCAGGACCAGACGGACTATCACCTATATTTTTAAAAGAGTGCTGCTCATCTTTGCTAAACCCCCTTAAACAACTGTTCCAACTTTCTTTCGATACAGGAATCTTTCCTACAACATGGAAATTATCAAATCTTATCCCTATCTTCAAATCCGGAGTAAATACCAACATTAAAAACTATAGAGGGATCTCTCTTTTATCCCATATTCCCAAAATAATGGAATCCATACTGACTGATGACATTTACTCCTGCTACAAGATGTACATCGCTAATGAACAACATGGGTTTCTGTCGAGGCAAATCGACGGCTACAAACTTGGCCTGTTATCAACAAGCCCTAACAGTTGCTTTGGAGTCAGGGAAGCAAGTTGATGCCATATATACCGATGTATCTAAAGCTTTCGACAGCATCTGTCATAAGATTCTATTGAGAAAGCTATCATGTATTGGTTTCAGTGAAAGTTTCTTGTCCTGGACACGCTCCTACTTAACTGGGCGTCAACAACGGGTAAACATGTGTGGTGTACTCTCACATGAGTTTTCAGTGCCATCGGGTGTGCCTCAGGGATCACACATCTGCCCAATTTTGTTCGTGCTTTTTATCAACGATGTCGTCGGTTGTCTCAAAGGTTCACGGTGTCTATTGTACGCCGATGACCTTAAGCTTTTTGCTAATGTAGATTCAGTTTCCAACCCCCTCCAACCTGACCTGGATAGACTTGCTGACTGGTGTAAAAGTAACCTATTGAAACTTAATCCCAAGAAGTGCAAGCATATAAGTTTCTACAAAACAACGAATCCAGTCCTGCACACATACTTTCTTGAAAATGAAAGATTGGAGACGGTGGGTACGATTAAAGACTTGGGTGTCATATTCCAGAAAGATCTGTCTTTCAATAAACATATCGATAATGTTGTGCTTAAGAGTTTTAGACTGCTCGGCTTTATCAAGAGAAACACCAGAGATATGTATGATGTCAAAGCAATAACCACACTTTACTACAGTCTGATAAGGTCTACATTGGAATACTGTAGTATAATTTGGACACCTAACTATAATTGTCACATTCAGAGGATCGAAAGAGTTCAGAATAAATTTGTTAAATACTTGTTATATAAACTAAGATTTCCTTATCAGGATGTGGACTACAACACTCGTCTGCTGTTGTGTGGCTTAACTAGCCTGGAAAATAGACGTCGGAATGCACAATTGATCTTCTTGTATAAGTTGATATGTGGTATTACTTGTTCACCTGAACTTTTACAAGATATCCATTTCCTCGTCCCTGGCAGAAGAGCTAGACAAAGGCAACTATTTTTCCAACCAGCCCACAGAACAAATTATGGCCAAAACTGTCTGATGACTAGACTTGCCACGAACTATAATAGTCATTTCTTTCATTTGGACCTCTTCAACATTAACATATATGGTATAGGTAGTATATTTGGAAACAGGACAAAAAGGAGAATCATTAGAGCTGAAAATATACAAGGTGTTACATTTAAAAAAAATGATTTGGTCGTTTATTATAATTTTGTGATTTTAATTTGATTGTTTTAGAAGCGCCAAAATATACTACCGATAAAACCGTACAACTTTCATATTTAAAGTTTTTTTCCACCTCCTATAGCTAAAGCTGTAGGTAGGGGTTAAAATGTGAGGAAACACCCTGTACATAATTTCTCCTATGGCCAGAAACTGATTTACGCCAATTTTCTCTTATTTTATTTCTTTTAATTTTCAACACACGTGCTGAAAGTACTTTCAACCCAATTGTCAATGTCAATTACAAATAATGTCAACTGTATTTTCCACATGTGTGCTGAAAGTATTTTTAC